CCGGGCCCGGGCCTGTGGTGCTCCCCGCGGGCGTCATCAACCCGTCGGTCCCGATCCGCAACATCCGGATGAAATTCGCAGTGCTGATCGGACTCATACAGGTCGGCGAGGTCAGCAACCGGGACATCGTGGAGACCGTGCTGAACCTGGTAAGGAGGCGCGCGGCCCGCGTCGGCCCCCCGTGTCCTCTCCGCGCCCGGGCTCCGTGGCCCCGGGCCTCGCTCCCGGCCTCACATGCTTCCTCCTGGTCGTCCTGGGCTCCCGTGTCCTGCCCACCTTCCCGGGCTCAGGGCCTCCCTCCCGGTCTTCATTATCCTTCCACCCTAGTTCTGTGCCCGCCCTTCTGCTCACGGCCTCCCTCTCGGTCCCGTGTCCTCCCTCTCGGTCCTCATGGCCTCCTTGTCGGTCCCCACGGCCTCCCTCTCGGTCCCATGGCCTCCCTCTCGGTCCCATGTCCTCCCTCTCTGGTCTCCATATGCCCCCTCTCTGGTTCCCATGGCCTCCTTCTGGTTCTATGGACTCTCTCTCTGGTTCCCATGTCCTTCCTCCTGGTCCCATGGCCTCCCTCTTGGTCCACACGTCCTCCCTCTCTGGTTCCATGTCCTCCCTCTCTGGTCCCCATGACCTCCCTCTCTGGTCCCCATGGCCACAGTTCCTGTGTTCCTTCCCTGCCCTCCCTGGTTTCTGCCACCCGAGCAGAGCAGCCCGCTGGGACGCCCACATCGCCACCCCTGGTGGGGCGGGGGAGTGAAGCCTTCCTCCCCTGAAGGCTCGGGGGCGACTTTAGAGCCCGCTGCCCGGGTTCTTCCCCCGTAACTGTGTCTCTGGGGACGGAAACCTTGTCCCTGGAGCCTCAGTCTTGGTGCTGTTGAGATGTGCGAAGCTTGTGCGGCTGTGTTCAGTAAGGGGAAAGGAGGCGGCCCTCTGGGCTCTGTCCCCGGGCAGGCTGGGGCCGACTCCCGCCCCGACCCCTCGCAGGCAGTCTGTCTTTGCTCCTTTGTCACCTGCTTGCTGGCTTTGCCGTGCGCGTGTGCGCCTGTGCGCACACCCAGGCCGCTGCGCTGGGGGGGCACCGGCTCACACAGGTTGGTTTCCATGGTTGCCTTCCCAGCGCGAGCGTGGCATATGGACAGAGACGGGAAGGGCAGGTGTTACATGCAGCCCTGGGTTGGGGTTTCGTGGGAGAGAAGAGTTGCTGCAGGACCCGTATGACTTCACGCTCTGCACGGTCCCCAGAGCGTCCAAGAAGCAGACAGGACGTCTGGGGGAGGAACGGAAGGCACAGGGGCCAAGGATCCGAAATTGCAGGAGATTAAGAGTCGTTCATCTTTAGTGCCTTGTCAGTGCGATTCTTGCTACAGCAAGGCTTTTCCAACCGTTTCCTCGGCAGCAGCTCTTTTTGGACAGACTGTACGGGTTGGGTGTCCCGAGCGATCCGTTCACTGCTGTGTTTGGTGTGGAGTCAGAGGAATTTAAAAACCTGCTGGCAGGGGGTTTTGGTTACACCCGTGCAGCCTGAGTTTTCGGTTGAGCACTGATTTGTATTTGCTTCGCTGGAAAACCAAAAGAAGGCTGTTAGCCACAGCGGCGGTGCTGAAGACATGGATTGGACAGCGTCCTGGGTCAAAATTCGTGGAAAAGTGAAAGCTGGTTGTATTTTTCTTTCCGCTAGTATATCTAGGCAAAGATGAGAGACTATTAGGCTTGGTCCTTCTGGTTTTCTTGCTGTTCAAACACAAAACACCTCTTCAAATAGATCAGCAGGCAAAGCCGATGGCAGCTTGGGGGGAAATGCCCCTATAGTGATTCAACAAGTTGCTTTTCAAAACACTGACTCCAGTAGTTTAACTAGCTACATGTTTATATGTAGGAGGTTAGTTTTGGTTTTTATTTTTTTAAGAAGAGAGTGAGTCTTAAAGTGTGTTAGCAGGTACTGTATTTCTATATATTATGCATTTTGAATGTCTTCCACTTTTCATCTACCCAGTACCAGTTTCACTTTGATGATGTGATACTAGGTTATTTTAATAAGCACTTGGTGCTTACTTGGTACATTTTCACCTGGTTAGCCGGGGAATAGCCAGGCCTGTGGGTGACCAGTAGCAGCAGAGAGGGGTACACTCCTTGAAACAGTTAGCCTCAGGAGATCTGAAGGGCAGCATTGCCCAAGGAGAAAGCTCTGAGGCCAGGAAGCGATAGGAAAGGACACAGGGAAATGGTAACCTTAGGGAGGAAGTGGGAAGAGAGCTGTTACATTTTGGGGGTTGCAGTGAATGTCACGAAATATAATGTGTATGAATCATGGAATGGAAAACCAGTGTGCTTTGTAAACTTTGACTCAGATCACAATAAAAAGTTAAAAAAATAAAAAGTAACCTAAGCAGCTGAGCCCGGAAGCTGGCAGGTGTGTGCTGCCTGCAGCAGGAGTGTCTGTGCCGGGTCATTTCTTCATAGGTGGCGGTGTGGATGGGAGAGTCAGAAAGGAAGTGAAGTATTTCTTTGGATATGAAGAAATTTTAACCCTTTTGTGCACTGACCACCTGGCGTGAAGTCTGAGACTGTAAAGATTATTTCATATATGTTACCTATATGCTTAATTAGAGTCATTAGAAATAAAGTAACACTGAAATGATATGTCCCCAACTCCAGCGAAGGTCTTATAACTGCATTGATCTTTGGAATAAAAATTTTCAAATTGCTTTTTACATATTTAAAGGCTGAAGTAGATTTTTGAGTGGACACTTTTGGGGAAAAGTGTCCTTAATGAAAGGAGCTGTTACTAAATTGTTCATTATAATGATTATGGAATAGGAATTGGTCATTTGTAGTAGTTCTTGTGGGAGCTCTGGTGGCGTAGTGCCTATGGCATTTGACTGCTAACCAGAAGGCTGGCAGTTCAAACCCACCAGCCACTCCTCAGATGGAAGGTTGGGCAATCTACTTCCTTAGTGATACTGCTTCGCAAACCCAAGGAGGCGTTGCTATGAGTCAGGATCGACTCGACGGCAGTGAGTTTGGTTTTTTTGATTTTATAATGAAAGTGTCATGTGAAAGTTTAAGCAGATGCTGAAAATATTTAGAAATTATAGGCACTTTTAAAAACAATTGAACAAAATGTAATTCTATTTATGTTAATCAGTAAAATCCATTTAAGATGCTCAGTGACTTGTTAGAGATTGGAAGCTTCTAATACTGCCTCTAACATGAGTTTCTCAACTTTCTATCCTAATTTAAAACATCCCCATTGCTGCCGAATCGAATCTGACTCATGGCGACCCCTCCTTGGGTTTCCGAGGCAGTATCACTTCAGAAGTAGATTGCCCATTAGTGCCTGAAGCACTTGACTGCTAACCAGAAGGCGGGTGGTTCAAACCCACCAGCCACTCCTCGGAAGGAAGATGGGCCAATCTACTTCCATAGTGATACCACCTTGGAAACCTGAGGAGGGATTGCTATGAGTCAGGTCCGACTTGACCGCACATAACAACGACAAAAACAACAATTTAAAACATTAAATAAAAACAAGGTGGATAGTGAGTTATCTGGCACAGTGCCCTGTATGACAGAAAAGAAAGGAGAGGAACTAGTGACATTTCAAAAACAAAACAGTTTGTACTTTAAAAAGTACTGTTGGCTCGGTCACCTCTGTGAGCATACTGTTCTTTTTTCCCTCCTGTACGTTTTCCCGTCTATGCTGTGGGAATGCTCCTCACTTTCAGCTGCCGTTTTTCATGTGCCTTGCCGGAAGAATTCAGCTTTGCAGAGGAAAGTTGAAGCATGCAGTACAGCGTGTGACTTCTTTTACACGGCTGTGGCTGGGAATTTTCTCCTTTTGTATCAAGAGGACGAGCTCCAATTCCACTACTCAAGTGGGCAATCTCCAATACAATGAGAACATAAAATGAAGAATATTCATCATAGATGCAGTGCGTTTGTGTATAGTGGTATTTTAATTTACTTCAAACATTCAAATATAGGGTGGATAGTATTCGGAAGATAAATAAGTTAATTTGTAAATAACTTTGCAGTGAAGTATCCTCAAGGAGTTTGGGTTCAGCTTTCCCAGTGCAGGAAACTGACCATCAACGAGCATTGGCTTTGGGAAGAATAATTATGAGTTTAACTATAGAAAAGGGATTTTGTTGGTTGTTTCAGTTATAGACCAGCTAGACTTTTTGATCTATTTCTTCCTCTATAAACACAGGTAATACCTATTTATATAAGATCTTTCCTTCCTTGAAGATAAATGCTATGTAAATATCATGCCACCTTTGTTTACAACACAATTTTAAACTAACTTTTAGCAAAGATAGGGGATTAGTATTTATTGTACAAAGGCATTCACAGTAGTTTTTTTTTTTTTTTAATAGCTATCTTCTACAGTTTAATTTTATGAGTTTTAATCTGAAGAATATTTTTCAGTATTTGCTGTGAGATATATCAGTGCATGTTTAGTTGTGGAAAATAGTATATTCTCTTTGATTATTTTGTTTTTTACATTCTGAGTGGCAAGCTGTGTAATGCCTTTTAGGAGCTCTGGTGGCATAGTGCCAAGGCATTTGACTGCTAATTAGAAGGCTGGCGGTTCAAACCCACCAGCCACTCCTCAGAAGGAGGGTTGGGCAATTTATTTCCATAGTGATACCGTCTCTGAAACCCAAGAAGTTGCTATGAGTCAGATCCGACTCCATGGCAGTGCGTTTGGTTTTGGTTTGGTAAGCCTTTTAGTAACTCGGATTATATTTTATTCTTGCTATTGGGTATGGAAACTTAAATTCAGGATACACATGTAACTATTGGAAGTTTAAGGGATTCTGAGGATTTTCACAGGAAGAATAATTTTGTCACATAATGATACTGGATTTATATTCTGTAACCAGTCTATGATCAAGTTTTCTTAATTTTAAATAAGTGTTTTTATATTGCTAGTCAATTTTGGCAAAGTTTAATTAAAAATTGCTCAAGAGCCCCTCTTTTACTATACTTTTCCCACATATTTAAAGAGATTCATTGGTTGTAGCAGGCCCAGCCTCCAGTTTTAGATCACTGATGTGGCTGTGCTATAAATCAAATCCAGTTCTCCACCATTTTCGATTTTTGACTGTTGACTTTAAATATTGCTCAGCATCAGTCAGTTTCACAGGGTTTT